TTTGTGGTCACATTTCTTGGTTCTAGTTTCATAAAAATATATCTTGTAGAGAAATTTGAATCTTTAGAACACATGAAATATCCTAGTGCATGACCACAGAGGAAGCTCTGCTGATTCCAATAAGGGCAGGCCATCCTGGTCTGAGTGTTACAAGTGAGAGGAAGTGGAAGGATGACTTGCATACCGTTTCAATTATGGACAAGAGCAAGTGGGTTGGTCTATCCACAGGCACGATCCTTTTAGGAAATTCCACTAAAAGAAAACAAGTCTTCCTGAAATGAGTGGGAAGGCCTCGCACTCTGGGCACTGTAATTAGGTCTGTTTGTGTTCACTGGGCCTTGGCTCTCTCAAGGATCCATGTGGTTTCACATATTAAACCAGACTCTGACTGCCCTTTCACCCTGACTCAAATATAATCACTCACAGAATGAATCTGATAAAGCTTCCTAAGCATGCTCCACCGAATGGAAGTGGGATAAAGGATACAGAGAAAATTCACATTTATTAAGTGCTTACTACATGCCAATCACTTGCTTAGTACTTTTTACACATTATCATAGGGTCATTTTTTTTCACAACTATGAGAGGTAGATAGTATTATAATCCAATTAAAAATAAAGTCCAAAGTCAAGCTGAAACTTTGTCTCACTCTAAAGACTATAGTTTTTCCTTCTTATCATACAGCATCTCAATATTAGTCCAAAACATAAACAATATTGGAAATATGTCCATCAAACAGAAAAATAAACATAGGCTAGATATCCATCTGCTCTAATGAATGGCTAATATGTACAAGAACTAGGTGGTAGTATTTACATACTAAATGTTAAAAAATCATTCCTATAACAGCAGCATAAACTTATTTATTATGAATATACACAGAACAATTTTACCTAATTTTCATATTGTTAGTGAGCTGAAATAGGAATTGAAGTTTAAAACAATATAACATTGAGAGAATTTATGAAGCACAAGAAAAAAACATAGTGAATTTGGGCACGTCATGTCAAACACATACCAGTACATTGTCTGAAATCAAAAATTGTTCTAACAACCGTAAACTATGGGCTAGTGTAAATGATGATTTTTAAAAAGCATTTATGTAAAAAAGCAATAGCTTCACTAGAAGGATGTGCAACTATGACATACAGCTATCTACTGGGGCTTTGGGGAAAAAAAAAAAGGAGGAAGATTGGCAATAGATGTTAGCTCAGAGCCGGTCTTCCTCAGCAAAAAGAGGAGGATTAGCACGGATGTTAGCTCAGGGCTGATCTTCCTCACAAAAAAAAACAAACAATAAATAAAATAAAATAAAAAGAATGTCTGTCCTTGATTTTATTCCCTTATCTCTGTCTTCTTCAATTCATTGTTATAAGAACCTCTATAGGGCTGGCCCTGTGGCTTAGCGGTTAAGCGCGCGTGCTCCGCTACTGGCAGCCCGGGGTTCAGATCCCGGGTGTGCACCAACGCACCGCTTCTCCGGCCACACTGAGGCCACGTCCTACATACAGCAACTAGAAGGATGTGCAACTATGACATACAACTATCTACTGGGGCTTTGGGAAAAAAAAAAAGGAGGAGGATTGGCAATAGATGTTAGCTCAGAGCCGGTCTTCCTCAGCAAAAAGAGGAGGATTAGCAAGGATGTTAGCTCAGGGATGATCTTCCTCACAAAAAAAAAAAAAATCAATGGCTTCCATCTCTCTTATGTTTTTTTACCTAACAGTGTTACTCATTCCTAATTTTTTCTGTTAAAATGAAACTGAATTTAAACCTTTATTGATACTATTATAAACAATGTAAATTTTAGTGAGCAATTATGAAAATAGTGAAATTCCATTAAAAACACAAGGTAATTCAAGATCCAATTCTAGACAACTGTTTTATTTTTCTTAAGCAGGAACAAAAGTTACAAGTCATCTAAAATAGACCAACTGATTCTTCTAAAATAATTGAATTGGTTTGAACTGATTTGAGAAAAGTAAAGTCCTACGCCAAGATTAATTTTAACAGTCTTGAAGACCTTTCAAAAAGTACCTTGCAAGGTAATTTATTACTTCTGACAGCACAAATGATTGTGTAGTCTATGCTGATGCCTCCACACTCATGTATTTTATGCATGAATGTGTAAACATTGTTTCCAGTTTTATTCTGGAATGGTATTTAATTTCATGAGGCTTGTGATTCTCACAGTCCCTTGCTTCTATCTCAAATGTGTCTGCATCCCCAATCTTGCAGCAGTTCTGGTTTCTGCACCCTGTCAAATGTAACCTTTGTGCTAATTTGGTAAAATCAGTTCTCACATTTAGTGCTGAGAGACTGATAACTGAATTCTCAAATGAACTACACATTTGCAGAGATGAAGTACAGAGCTGTGGACAATGACTGTTTTCCCACAGTGTAAATTCTTCAGACTCAGCTGTCAACATGTGAGTGTGCAGCACAAAAGCAGCTTTAACTTGATGACTTTTTTCCTCCAAGGCCATAAAAATGAAACGGATACTATACTCTCCTTTATGTTATTCCATCTTCTAACGACATTTTCTTTCTCATAGACAGTGGAAAGCCTGTATGCCCTTCATAGTTGTTAGTAGATCAAAGTCTCCTGCTTGTTGAACAAAAAATAAACATTTTCCCTCCTACATAAATTATCAGTTTGAGAATAGATCAGATAGCAATGCTGAAAGAGGTTTTTTCCTACTAATTTTGACTCTATACAAAGCCCAGGTTTAATAATTGACAGTGGATATTCCAAAATGGTCCTCTGGGATTTTGGAGTTTGGCTCTTTTATAATTTTACACAGACAGCCTTCTTATGATCTCAGCATCTTTTCTTTTCCTTGGGGAGGCCTCTACTTTCTCAGATGGTCGCCCAGGTACCACTATACCTCCTCTACCCCCAGGGGTGGATATTTGACTATACGTCCAATCCTTTTTGATTGCCACAGTGTTTGTACTCAAATCACAAATCTTAGGCATCATCTGCTTTTAAGAGAACAACAATAGAGAAGTGATGTCAAACTTATTGGAAACTTGGGAGAGCAGGAAATAAGAGAAGGTAAGAGAAGTGACCCTTTTAAAGAGAATAGGCTAGTTAACAGTGATAAATACTACAGGAGAGATTGTCTAAATGGGGGTTGAAAAAAAGGTATAGTAAGTCATCAGTGACCTTTGGAGGAGCAGTTTCATAAGATCAAAGGCGGACTGAAAGTGGCTAAAGGTGGTGAAAATGTTGAGGAAATGCATTCCTAACCAGGCTGTGGACTTAGACATATAGGGACTTCATGGCATGCCATGATTAAAGGAACAGTTTGGATAGGATAGACGAGCAATCTTTCAGATCAGAGAAAGAAATCAGTGGTGAAGAAGAGATAAAGACAGAAAAGAAATGTAAATTGGGTAAATTTACAAATAAAACATCAATGCGATTAAGAGCAAGGGCAGAAGGGTCAAATGTGGAAGGTAAGAGGCACACCATTCTTACTAATGCATGAAAAATAATAGGACGATCAGAAATGTTGCTGCAGGAGAGTAGAGATGCTGATTGAGGTACTTTGAGGTCTATTTTATGTTTTGCATAGCCACTTTAAAGTATGGGATATATTAGAACAGAGATTGTCACACACAACTCATGGTCTCCTGAAGTTTCAGCGAGGTTCAAGTGGCAGAATTGTGACTCTCCTCTAACAAACAAATGAAAGACAGAGGTGATGAAATGAATTTTGGGTTCCCCAAGAAGGGCAGAAAAAATAAATGTGGTAGAAGTTCAAAGAGTGAGGTAAACAAGCATCTTACTGAGAACACAGATGGACTATAAACCATGAGCTTCATCCTTATTAATGAGGCAAGTGAAACCAGGAAACAGTTCATGGACGAGAAATTAGTAACAGAGCAGCTTTATTTCATAATATTGAAGGTATATATAAGTAGAGATAATTATTTAATAATAAAAAATAACCATGATAATATTGCGGGAACCATTATAAAAATCTTTGATGAACGCGTAAGTGAATAAGAAAGGGATGATTAGGCATATGTGTGTGGTGATGGATTGTAATTAGTATTTGGGTGGTGAATATGATGTAATCTATGCAGAAATAGAAGTATAATGATGTACACCTGAAATTTATACAATGTTATAAACCAATGTTACGGCAATAAAAATAAATAAATAAATATACTTAACTCGTGCAAAAAAATAAATAAAACTATATAGACAAATATATAACGATTATTTGGTTCAAAATCTGAGTGAAAATAGTATTTATTTTAAGTATATAAATTTTGTACATTTTCTCCTATACTAAATTTACTTATATACTAAAAAGAGAAAGAGAGTAAAAATGTATCTACTTGATCAAGTAGTAAAGCCAGTGCCTGAAGTTCAGGAAAGTGGCTTCTTGTTCTAAATCTTCTACAAATGGGTTAGATATAACCTTAGATAAAAAATTAGCCTTAATTTCCTCACCTAGAAAACGGGAGAGAGGATTTTAGCAAGATTAAAGGAGAATCAAATGAAATGATATAAAAGTTCTTTGAAATTTTGAAAACACTTTCACTGTAATGTCGTTATTAGCACCGCAATTTTTTTAAAACATTCAATAATTTATATGGTGCTCTCAAGGCATTATAAGAGGTGTGGAGGAAAAAAAAACTACACCATGAGATTTGTTGTGGTGTCCCTGTAAGACAAGACTGGTAACTCATCTTATCTTTTTCCACTGCCTCCCTTCCGTAGCTCCAGCCCAGAACTGTTTCTTTCCTTACTTAACTACTGAGAAACTTCAATTTTGGCACAAAGCTATATTTTCCTGAATTTTTAATCTCTCTTTTCTCTTTTTGCCCCACTTTCTCACAGCCACAGTCATGAAGTCACCACCACGAGTTTAACTGCATACGAAATCTCAAGTCATACTGTTTGTACTGTACAAGGAAAGCTCTCCCTTGAATTACTACAGATATACGTGTTACGTGCCTACATTCTTGCACGCACCACCTACCATTAAGCCACCTGGAATCGTGCTGCTCCGTCCTGATTGGGTGGTGGTGCCCAAGAGTTCGGAAGATAGCAAAGTCTCGTCCCATAAAATCAGCTGCCGTTCCAGAGTATAATTCTCCATCTGCGTTATGACAAAATAAAACCACATACACATACTTTAATTCAATTAAGGCAAGAAAAACTAAAGAAACAAAATACAAGTTTCATGTTAAGACCATGCTAAAAAGAAAAGAGATGCTCTCTGCATCATTATTCAAAGCTACTTATTTTTATCCTGTCTTTGTTGAAGGGAGTATTTTATTAAATGATCGTTCACTGATTAGGCATCTGACTACCCATTTAGCACTAACTTAGAAAAACTGAGTAAAATATGATTCAGCGGACATTACTAAAACAGGAAATTTTATTCTTTTCTATTATGACCAGAGACAAACTTAAAGTGCAAAATGCAAATTATATTTATCACACGTATGCTTTTGTATGTGTAAAGCTACTATGATTTAATATCCTTATTTATTAGAGTAAGGTATCATAAAATCTAGCTTATAGCTTTTTATTTTAATGGAAATTAAATTTCTAATGTACTTCCTCTTTAGTGGGATACGAATTAATGAAATTTTACTATAATTTAGAAAGGACTAATATTTTCCTTGCCAAATTTTTTTTTCTTGTTTTTTATTTTTTAATATATCAGGTGGAAGAAGCGTCTAACTTGATATAAGCCATCATACAGTCCAAAAACACGTCATCACATAGTCTCAGATATAACAGAAATGTGTCTGAAGACAAGAAAATTTTGACAAACACAGGTCATGATCACTACAGCTCAAGATTCTGTTGTGCTTTGACTCATTCCTATTTAAACCGAATTAACTCTAGGTCAGAGTTTAACAATGCAGGAATCATATTCAGAAGATTAGACTAGAAAGGACAAGAAAAAACGAAGGAGAAAGAGAAGTTAATATTTACTGAATACCATTCTGTGTTTGCCGGGCAGTCAGGCACTGGCTTGACATTTTCAAATTATCTCATTTAGTTCTGTCAACAAGCCCATGACGTAAATGTTATTCCTATTTTACAGTTCAAGAAACCCAAGGTTGCTCAGCTAATGACTACGCAAGTCAAGGTGAAAGTTCAAACCCAGGCCTGTTTAATCCCAAGCCTCTTACACTAAACCATACCACCTTTCAATAAACTGAAGTTTATAAAAATTACATTTTCTGTCCTTTAAACAGAAAATACCCCATATTATTTCATCCAGAAAACATATTACTGCCTGCTTACGTACAGTGAATTATCAGCAAAACAAAACAAAAAAATACAAAATTTTCTCTAAATAATCTACCAAAATAACAGTAAAACTTAACATTATCTTGTTGATCATTTAGATAAGTTAATGTTTCTGAATTCATTGATTTGAAAAATATTCAGAAAATAAAGTAGGCACAGATAAATTATAACTTAAACATTTGTATAACACTATCATTTCCAAAGGACTTTGATATTTATTAGATGAATCAAAAATTTTCTGTGCATCTTCAGTTATAAATGCCTTTGGGAAAGTCTTATTAATTTGATTCTTTATGTGATATTCTTTGTTCACACCCTCAGTTCTCATGTGTGAATAATAGCTTTGTAATGAAAACAGACATTCTCAGTGGTGCAACCTAAGTCAATTCCTTCAGTAGAACCTGTGGTTCTCTGATATGTTTGAATGCACCAGGCTTTGGAGAGTCTCCAAAGCAGTGGAGAATAGCTACACAGAGAGAATCACTGAGCAGCTACAAGTTATGACTTTAAACATTAATAGAAAGATGTCTTATCTTAGAGACTAAGTTTTAAAAAATTGATCATTTATTTTGGATTGTTGTGAATTGAGACGAATAAAAATGATGGTTTGACAATATATTAAGTACAAATTACCAGCTAAATGAATGGTACTCATATGACATCCTAAATTGTCATAGTATAATATCTTTGGGATTCAAAAGCATCTTGTGGGGCTGGCCCAGTGGCTCAAGCAGTTAAGTGCGTGCACTCCACTGCAGCAGCCCGGGGTTTGCCGGTTCAGATCCCGGGCACGCACTGATGCACTGCTTGGCAGGCCAGGCTGTGGCGGTGTTACATATAAAGTGGAGGAAGATGGGCATGGATGTTAGCCCAGGGCCAGTCTTCCTCAGCAAAAAAAAAAAAAAAAAAGAGGAGGATTGGTAGATGTTAGCACAGGGCTGATCTCACAAAAAAAAAAAGCATCTTGTGTTCTCCTCGCTTAATTAAATATCAAGTTCAAATCTGACTTACTCTCATGATAATATGCTGCAGCAACATTTTATCTGCCCACAAGGTAACAAAATAACCCTTTTCTAAAAGCACAAAAACATTATGAATAAGCTATCTATAAGTTTCAAAGGTATTTTGAAATATTTAAATGCCTATTGTCTCCTTAATTTTAACCTATATTCAATAACTATAACATTTTTCTTAAGGTTGATATTTTATCTTTTTACAGATATAATTGATAAACAGATGTGATGAATTTTTAAACTTCAGGTGAATTATTTTTCTTGATCTGGGTGAATAAGAGGGTGTTCGTTAAAAATGTGTTGTGAAAGCAGCCTAAAATGTTCATGTCAATTCCAAATATTTTTCATGTTGGAACACCTGTCACAGAATGCCTTGTGTCTTCTTTACCTTGAAAAATTGAAAGCATTAAATTATTAGTTGAACCTCATTGCTCTCTCAACCACATTAGGTGACGAAAATCAGGAAAGGTGATAATAGAACAACCAAAAGGTGGAAATGGAACAATTTCCTATCAGAGTGTAGTCAGACAAGACTATGCCCAATAGAAAGTATGATCAGAAATAGAAAAGTAAAGAATGTCATTAATTAATATTTTTTTTTTCTTTTAGCTTGCTTTAGTGTAAAATCCACACTTATGGTTGTCATTATACATAAACCTTATTCAGCAGAGAGCTGAAATAATACAAACAACAACAAAAGAAACTGCTATTTGGATATAGATAGGTATTTGTTCTCTTATTCATTTGTTTAATTGTTTTACAATTTATTTTTTTACCCACTTTCACATGAGGAAGGCAAAAATCAATATAAATAAAGGCAAAGGCAGAAGGACTAGACTGCCTAGTCATTCAGAGAAAGGGCGGTCATTCAGAGAAAGCAGAAGAGTTCTTCAGTGGAAGAGCCATTCACTCAATCTATTACTGAAAACAGAATTAAATTAAGGAATTGACTTAGAAACCAAAGGAAGGTTGCAGTTTAGGCACCAGTTGCCTCCAAGCATAGGAAATTACCTCCCACCCAAATATTATTTTTAGCAAGAGTCGACGTGATTTCTGTGAGCTGGAAGCCACCAGATGACTAGGTGGCCATGAAGGGTACACTCTCATACTGTCAATGCTCAATATCAGTAAGCGTTCCTTTACACCAGGCCTTAGACCAGATTTTCTGCTGAGAAGTCTATAAGATTCTTATCAGGGTTGACTGCTCCAGGTATTATATCACATATTTGTTATTTGACGCAAATGTACAGGCGGTAGAATATTCTATTCTTGTATTCTCATTAAGCAGATATATAATATCAACTCAGAGTATATTTCTTATATATATACTTGTGCATTTCCACCATGTATTAAAGACTTATTACATTCTGTGGCTAACTGAAATGATCTAATGATATCTGAGTATAAGAAATTTACTATACTTCAATTGGCTTATTTTTGGAGAACAAATATGTTTAACAAAAAAGACTACTTGTCAAACTTCTTTTGTAGTTTCTAGGTCATTTATGAAGTTATCAAATTACACGTTGATTTTTGGGCACAGTGTTAATTTTCTAGTTTTCTGACCCTAAATATAAGTCTTCTTGAAAATCTGAAATTAGTATATTAGGTAAATGTTATCCTACAATGATTCAAATAGCATTATGGTTAAGATACATACTTTTGGGTTTCCATATATACCAAGCTACTAGTGAAAGAAAATATGACATTTGTCCAACTTTATTAAATTGATAGTAGAATAATATACTCAAGAAATTGTTACATATATCAAAAAGTGGTTTCGGATACTCTGTCCAACAAAGCTTTTAAGTTTCTCTCTAAAAAAATACCACATAGGCAGTTTGCTGTCTCAAAAATAATACATCAGACTAAGATAAATTAGTGCTGACAGATGTAGCTAACAATCTAGAAATTGTTAAATATAAAAGTTGCCATTTGAGTACACTGCCATTCTTTCTTAACTATAAGCTTTCTTAACTGTCTCTACAGAAAGCATTCTTTACTGAGATGAACACAAAGTTTAGTGAACTGCATTTCCACCACAGCAGTTACCTGAGAAGCATGTTAAAAACAAAAGTTCATATGGACTCTGGACTTTCTGTTCACAGCTTAAAACGAAGTAAAAATGTGGCTTAGATCAGGTAATGTATTGGATTATAATTCCTAAGAAGGGTGTGGTGAGGAGAAAGAGGGTGAAAAAAACATTTCCTGATGAAATCACAGCATTACTAACACAGGTGTCAAGTGTGACATGGATGTGAGCAAAAATCAAACAAACCTGAAGACCAAGCCATTATGTTGTTAACACCTTAAGTAAATTCCACTTCACAGAGTAGAAGAGTAATTAAAAACAGAAGAAAAAAAAGAAATTTATCTCTCTCCTCTCTCTCTCTCTCTTTCTCACACACACACACACACACAGCATGAATGAAATCCATTTCTTGAGAGTGGAAGAGTGTGGGAATAATTTTACATTTTTACATTTATTGAGCTCCGTCTCTATACCAAAAAACATAATATTCTGGCTTTATTACTTATGTTGTCCTTTTGAAACAAATATTTTTTGAGTAGTTAATATGTGCACATGATACAAAATTAAAAATATAAAATTTATAAGGCACCAAATGTGTCTCTGAGCCTCCCTACAGCCAACCACTCTTACCAGTTTTTTGGTTTCTACTTCCACGTGTATTCCAGGAATATGTAAGCACCCAAATGTAGTATGCTATTACACTGTCTCATTTAATTCTCACAAGAAACTAGCGGAATTTGCATGGCCCTGCCATTTTATATACAAAGAAATTGAGGCTCAGAGAAGTTCACATAATTTTCTCAATTACAGTTACCTAATTTAGGGAGTACCTCGTTTGCTCTAAAACCAAGTGAGAGCATATTCTAATGTCAAATTATATTCTTTCCTGAGGCAAGACAGAATTCTAGCTTGGGGAAATAAACCTTAGCTAGAAATCCAGACATTTTAAATATACCTCAATAATATCTCTTAGTGATGGAATATTTTTAAATTATTAGCACTGAAATGCTTGGAGAAGACTTCGATGAGGAAATAAAACTGCTTTCAAGTTGACTATTCCTTCCACGTCATGAAAATGTGAGATGATCTTTAATTAGTTAGGAAAATCCTGGGTTTTATTCTTGTGTTGTTTTCACACTTGGCATTTATGCTGATCAGAGGAGCAACTGCTATTTTTTTTTTTTTTTGTGAGGAGATCAGCCCTGTGCTAACATCTGCCAATCCTCCTCCTTTTTTTTTTTTTTTTTTGCTGAGGAAGACTAGCCCTGGGCTAACATCCGTGCCCATTTTCCTCCACTTTATATGGGACGCCCCCCAGCATGGCTTGCCAAGCAGCGCGTCGGTGTGCGCCCAGGATCCGAACCAGTGAACTTAACCGCTTGCGCCACCGGGCCTGCCCCCGCTATTTTTAATAAAGAATTTTTAAACAAAGTCATAAAAATATTTACAGGTGGCTAAAATAATAAACACTAAAAATAAATATTGGAGCAATTTCACATTGACAAAATGATTTTTTATTAAAAGGAGATTTGAAAAATTAACTTTACTAAGGTGATTTGAAAAACTTAGAACATGTTATAGGATTTGGAGACTTAATTCAGTAGCAATGCATTACCCAGGAGAGAATCCATATTTTCTATGGTTATCAGCTTAAAAATCCATGGCATTTTGGAAAGAGGTTATACTAAACCTTCAAAGATTTCATAAACTAATTTTTTTAAGCTGTCATCTGGTTTTAAAGCTTACTACTGTTGAAACTGCTTAATAGAGGGATTGATGGTATAGAAAGTGCCTGCTGTCAAGATCAGTCTAGCCAGTTTACAGGTGGTTTAAGCCAGCATTGGGGAAGGAAGCAGTCCAGAAGCACCTTGAAAACTTCTCTTATGTGCTGAAGTAAGGAGACTAAATTCAAAATCTTTTCGGTAGACAGGCTTTCCCAACAGCCATTCTCTAATATACAATGTACAATCTGTATATTTCAGAGACAGTTGTCACCCTTGTATGTAAAAGTTTGGTAAGTGTTGTAGAAAATATTTATGTTAAAAAACTCCATTAAATTAGTATGCACTCTTTTTAAAGGAGCACAAGAGAAAAGGCCAAGAAAAACCCAAGGAGGGGAATTAAATATACTGTGAGAGGAAGAATTTATAGCATAGTTACAAAAGAAGCAAATAACCTCAATAAAAGAAGTCACAGCTCTTGAATTAAAATGGTGTTGAGGATATTTTGCGGTATTTTACCAGGTCTAGCATGGCCTGTATTTTTCTGTATCGTGTTTCTGTATCTTGCTATTCAACTGATTCAGAAATTAATTTACGTTGGTCGAATAATCTCGTCAATAAACACCAAATACCTCTGCAAGTTGCTCAATTATTTGACCTTATTGAATAGGTGAGGTTTGGACTTCCATTTAAAAGCTGCTTCTCTGAAATGCCTACTGTTCTTTTTAGCCATACAACCTCTCCTTGACTCACAGAATTTCCTTCATTCTCTTTTCCTTTTCACAAACTTATACAGCTTTTTCAAAGAAGTTCTAAAAAATTTGGAGTTTCATATTCTTTGTGGACTTTGTGTGGTTGCATACCATATGAACTATGTAATACTTACTTGTCATCATCCTTTCTCAAAGGAATATTAAAATAAATAATCAAGCAAATCCCTACTGAGAAACATACCACAAATTAAAGCTGCTTTAGGCACAATTTTACACATTGCTTTTTGAGGAATATCAATCCATTTTTTAGTGTGCAATTTAAATAAGTATAGGCTGCAAGTTTGAACAAGGTAGGCCTCCTCCCCTTTGTTTAAGACAACTTTCAAATTTCTGTGTGTGCACTTAAGGAAGCCATCCACATGTAATCACTAGGCCATCTGCGAATAGGAAAATTATAAGTGTGGTACACTTACTGCATTCCTTCAGGTCTTAAAGTTTTGTTAAAATGCTCCATAAATGGATCAAATGGACTAAAACTGTCTGCATTTGAAAAGCAATAGAGGAGATAATTCATGCTATAATGGTTTTATTCTTAATAGAAAAGGGATCAGTGAAACATAGTAATAAAGTAAACACTAGAGAATACTGGAAAAAATATACCTTCCTAGTTAATGTTGTAGTCAATAAGACTAGAGTTTTATTTTGTTGAGTAGGACAAAAGTTATTTTTAAAAAGAAAAAGACTGGCAAAACTTCATGAACTTATGACACATCAAATAATAACCTAAATTTACTATTAAAAAATCTAGATTTATTATTCAAAATTCAATTAGAAATTTTACACTTGAAAATTTCACGACTATTTTTATTGTGTTATCAATAATTACTTTCTATATTTTATAGAAAAGAAAACAAAAAAAAGGAAATAAAAAGTTACCTAATTTCTACAGAATTATATTAAACACATATTCAGGAACAGGCTAATGATTCAAAATCTTTTGTGTTTTAGGTTGCTGGTATGCTCAGAAGTTAAAAAAAGAAAAAGAAAAATTGTTTAATGATGTATCACATTTTGTTTGTGTGTTTATTTAACTCCAGTCCAGAAGTAGTTAAAGAATGTAGAAAGAATTCTTTATCTTTCAATACAGACTAAAGTTTTCTCCTTCCGTCTACTTCTATCTTCTTCTTCTATCCTTTTGAACTATGACTAAACATTCACCACCCATCTGCAATGTTGAAGGAAAAGACGAAAGAAGAAAACTAGAAAGGAAGACGGTCAGAGAAAAGGATAGAGGAAAAACATAAAATATATTGTTAGATTAAAAAAAAAAGAAAACAAAGTCAAAAAAGATGAATACAGAAGGACTTCATCAACTTAAGGTAACACAACAGGGCCCCTGCCAATTGTACCACCATTTAGACTGACTGTGCTGATTAAGTTGTCCAGATGTTGAGAGTGTGACAAATCTTGGAACTACAACTAACGAGATAGACTGAATCTCATTCTTTTCTTCTGATATGTCAAAATTCCCCCTTGAAATGTCTCTTTCATGAAATAAAAACCAAAACTCTTACAAAATAAAAATTGTGAAGTTCTAGTGGGGATATATAGTGAATGAGCAGGCAATTTTATTTTATTTTTTCATTTTATTTATTTTTTTATTTTTTATTTTTTGTGAAGAGATCCGCCCTGTACTAACATCTGCCAATCCTCCTCTTTTTTTGCTGAGGAAGACTGGCCCTGGGCTAACATCCGTGCCCATCTTCCTCCACTTTATATGGGATGCCGCCACAGCATGGCTTGCCAAGCGGTGCGTCGGTGTGCGCCCGGGATCCGAACCAGTGAACCCTGGGCCGCCACAGCAGAGTGCGCGCACTTAACCGCTTGCGCCACCGGGCCGGCCCCAGGCAATTTTAAAGATACTATTAAACTATTTCAATTAAAAAGAATCATAGAGTCCATAGAGCAATAATCAAAGCAGCATTTAGTGTTTCTTCTTCATTTTCAAAATATTTGAACATACCCAACTGAAATCCTCCTAAAATAGCTCATCAATAACGAAAAATCTTGGTATATAAAAAAGGAACACGCAATCTGGTTATTATCTATAGAAAATTTACTGTTTGATTGTTGACTACGTACCTATTAAAAGAGATGCCGTCAACAGTTTAGGGTCATATGGACTCTTCCCACGGCCATTTTCAAAATGTAAGTCTTCCAGCTTAAAAATGTTGTCCTGTAGAAAAGAAAAAGAAAGATTGAATTTATTTATAACAAGAAGTATTTTAACACGCCAGTTAATCAGACAGAGGTTGAGTATTCACGTCTACCATCAAGGGGTATTATAATTTGTATAAACTTTACAGATGGTAAAATAACTTAAGTAGATAAAACCTAGCTATTACTAGCCAAATATCTACTTAGCTCGGTGATCTTCAGTAGCATTTAGCATGTTGCAAGTAATAATGCATAAATGAACTCTAAAAGAACAAGCCATGTCGTGATAAGAGTAGAGTGAGCATTTTATCACATAAATATGCCAAGAGGTACCCTAATGTCTCTTGAAGGAAAGAATTTTAAATTTAAATAAAATGACTTTTTTCCCCTCACATAGAGAAAAAAAAAGCAATCCACTATATTAGATTTCTAGAATAAGATACACTATCTTACTTTTCTGTATGTGCTTCCCAAAAGGAAATGCTAAAGAGCCATAGCTGTCACTTCCCCCTGGTCTGTCATTCCTACAACTTTGCTGCTTACAAGCTTCTCAAGCATTTTTAAATTACTCACATTGGAAGGTAGGAGTACTTGAAACTATCATTATCAATTTCTCTAAGTGTGAAATATCAAACTGTATGTTAGGGGAGGTGTGCCCAGAGGTAGTGTCATTAAAACAACAAGCACAGAGATGACACATTTTTATTACAGGGAAGTCTGCTCAGTTAAGGCTCAAGTACCCAGAAACTGAGGTGAACATTTGATTACGTATAGAAATATGCACAAGTCCCAGGGTAGAAAGCACTGCAACAAAAGCCCTAATAAGTGGGTAACTAACCATGCTTGAGACCCAGTCCTTGGAATGTGTCTAGCTACTGAAATTTCTATGTGACAGTGGAGCAAATTGGGGGGTATTTCTGAGCACTCTTTTCAGAACCATATGCTCTGGGAATTAATTAGATCAGAATATGTATGCTGTTTCCAGTAGCACACTGACTTGTCCACTGACTGAAATAAAACAGCTTTTTTGGCAATTTTTCTACTGTTCACATAAAAGTATTTTCTATCTTCTTAGAATAGTAAATGGTGTTCATTTTATGGCCAATAAGGATCACTTTATTTAACATTTAATATTTCTGATGGAGCTAATGGCAGAGTTTCAAATTATGATTCTTAAAACTCATTTGAGTTAGGGAGAAAGAGTGAAAAAGGAAGCAAACCAAAAGTGTTCTCTATTTTTATTACTGTGAGTGAGAATTACCAATTCTATTCTTGCCTTGTATTGATTCTGTATTTGGCAATTAGCTATCCCTTGGAATGATGGCTCTTTAGCTGACTTCTAAAATTTACACTATGCAATAATTTATGGGGTTTCTCAGAATTGTGCTAGGCTGTAGTGGAAAGGGCAGTAAGTCAGGGGTCAGGCCCAGCTGGGCCAATTATTCGCTCTGGTTCTTTGGTAGCCAATTAATATTTGAGCCTCAGGTCCGTAAAAGTCAATGCCAATAAGGATATTTAACCTCACATGTTACTGTGAGGGTTAAAGAACTGAAATAAAGCATTTTTAAAGCAGCAAAATAAAAAGCAAACACAATTTACTTTTATTTTATTAATACTGCTCATATTACCACTATAACAAAAGAATATGAAAAATTTAACACAAGTTGTTACTATTATTGTAAACTTTCCTGGCATAATTGGAAAGAAATATTACTTAATGACAGTTATATAAGTCACCAAGTTACAAACTCATTTACAAATACAGATTTATCATAGGCACTTGAATATTAAAATTATAATATGAAACTTAGTGACATATGCTAAGAAAAAGCATAGAAGAACCTCTTAAGAAATATTTATATGTATTTTGATGAAAACTATGAAATAATCCAAAAGAAATATGCTCAGTAAAAGATATACACTCTACTGCCACAAATCATAGAAAAGACTAACATTTGTATATGTGATTAATTTTCACAGGTTAGAGGAAGCAGCAGAGAGAAGTGGTGGTGTGGTTGAAAATAGTTATAAACACTACTATAAGTTTCTTGTCCTCATAAGACATTTTACAATACTGACAAAGATAGAGGAACTATCCCTTAAAGTAGGAGACACTTGATGTCTGGGATCATGTGTCCAAGTTAATAAGACAATGCCAAGGCAGATGAAAAGTACTTCCAATCTCGTATTTAATATTTGATTTACAAGGTGAAGAATTAGACTTCATAGGAAGAGAGGTTAAGCATGTCAGTTATGGTTCAAGAGAAGATGAAAAACTATCCTTCATCATGGTGTCAGGTATTGTGTTCAAAGCTGGCTTCCTTTTCCTTTCCTCCTTTTTTCCATTAAATGTAACTCTTACCCAAGTTTTTGGGTATCACCATGTAATTCTTCTACATTCTTATATGATTCTACTGAAAGGTAAAACGTTGAATTTCCTTTCTAGCCAAGTGAGATGGGGGCTTGGAATAAATATAATTTGGTTTCTGAATAGGGAAGTAAATTTCTCACAAATAAATATTTGTGGTGTAAAATTCATACCCATTACACATAGTAGTGGGGTCGAAGGATGTCATAGATCAGTAGAACTGGGTATTACCCCTGGCTCTGCCTTTTATTAACTATGGACCTCAGGCAATCCCTAAACCCTTCTGAAACTCAGATTCTTCATCTGTAAAAGGAGGATACAAAAATCACATAGGGTTGATGTGAATATTTATTTTAATAATGTATATAAAACAATACTTAGTATGCCCTCTAAAAATAGTCGTTAATTTCCTTTTCCATTGTTTTTAGTTGCCACAATAAAATTATTCTTTCCTACACTGATCCATATCTCTCATGTCATAGTGGAAATGCTTGGCTATATTTCCATCAGTGGAAATTAGGACAAGTGTTTAAAATATATACAAATGCTTTGGACTCCCAAAATGCACTGAAAATTGTTCTTTCCTATAGCCAGCTAGACCAGTGTCTAGGTCAAAAGCTTTCCTGAAAATTATCTAAATACAATACATGTAAAAATTATCAATTAAGAAAGACTACCCTTTTAATATATCTGATAAATTTAACGTGATTGATATAAAGAGAGACCAATATTGCTGTTTCTGTTATATTGTGAGTGTGATCTATTATTAGATGTGTGAATATATTAACACACTGTAAAAGAACTCGGTGTTAATATAATTGTATATTAACATTCTATGTTGTCATATGTAACATATCACACAGACAACCGTCCAGCTGTACTCAGAAAGCCTTTTGAAATCTGATTGCTACTCAATGATTTTCTGTTTTAAAGAGCATCAAATAGATCACATATGCAAGTAATAAGACCAAAAATCCTAAGACCAGTGTATACAATTAAACTGCATAGCTTATATGTCTTATTTGGGCTGGAATGGTTTTCATTTTTAGTAATAGATGAACAAAAATCTAGCTGCATGGATTCTAATTGCTTTAGCAGATACAATGAGCATATCATATAAGTTATTGTGCCATATTTTATTACATGATTGCATCAGTTTTCAACAGCTATTTTTAGCTCTCAAGACCACTCTTTCCCCTTTGTCTTTTGGATTTCCTGACTGTTATTAGACTGTGGTGAGGTAAGGCATTAGAGGAAATAATAACTGTGCTAATGTCTAATCCAAAGTCTTATAAATTATAAACCATTGGTGACATCATGGCAATAAATTTCCTAAATCTCAATCTTGTCCAAGTAATAAATTTATGTAACAAAGTTGCAATTTTAGGTGTTTTATCTAATGATTAAAACATAAATGATGTTTGCCTAAAAAAACGAAAAGAAAATATTACATATATGTGATAGAATGACCATTTTGAGTGGGAAACTATATAAAATTACATCAAAACCAATACCTGGACAGCACAGCATTTAAAAACATATATTATTATATTTTTTTCAAATTGCTCTTTTTCCTCTCCTGCTCTTCACAAAAGACATCTTGTTTGCCAGTTATACTGAATTATTAAATATTCCCTGGTCACATCATGCTTTTTTTCATTTTTGCCTGAAACATCTTCCTCCTCCCCCCACCCACCCTCAGCCCTCAACCCCAGGGTGAACTTCCTTTCTTTTAAGAGCAAACTAAAAAGTCACTTCCCAGAAGTCTAATTTATTAATTTCCTTTGTGCATATCCTAATTAATAATAGTACACAGGCAATGCTTATACTGGGTAAAACTACTGGCTTCAGCAAAGAAGGGATGTAATAGGATCTCACAGGAAATATTGTGGCATACTGTATTTTGCCCAAAGGAGATCCTTTTGTGGATCAAATTCATCCGGAATTTACTTTTGCTAAAAAGGTGACTCTAGATCTATGCTGTGCAATACTATAGCCATGAGCCACATGTGGCTATCTAATTAATTAAAATTAAAAATTCCATTCCTCAGTTACACTAGCTATATTTCAAGTGCTCGATAGTCACATGAGGCTTGTGAATACAATACTATGTAGATGCAAACATTTCCACTGTCACAGAAGTTCTATTGGACAACACAGTTCTAGATCCTAAATCCTATTCCCTTAGCAGCAAAGAGTAGAATCAGAAATTAGAGGGCCTCCAGGGAGAGAAAACTTGGACTAAATCACAGTAGAAAGGGGACAGGAAATTTACAAGAAGAAATTATACTAAAAACACTAATTTAGTTTTTGATTTTTATTAACCAGGGTTTACACTAAATAACATTTAACAGCAGTACAGATGAACAAATACATGCCCTATATTTTCCTATACATCATTCTTCCATTTGAATCACTTTTTCCTAATCTATTCAGGTACAAATTTTACCCATTATTTAAACTGTAGGTCAAGATACTTAGTCCACTAAATGTCACTGATTCTCCCCAGCAGAAAAAATGTTTTCTCCCCGGAACTTGCATAGCAATCTATTCATACTCTCTTTTTTACCTTCAACCTTGATATTCAATGATGCATGTATTCTTTTTTTACTATAAAATTATTTTGAGGCCAAGGAAAAATCTTATTCACT